TGTCCACTGGAGTAACCGCTGTCCCTGAAAGGGTTAAGAAATAATGTTGTGGGTAAAATCTGAAAGCACAAACTCAATTTGAATGCATAATACAATCCATTTAGAAAGGTGATCACCGTTTCACGAAGCCTATGCCACCGCCTGTTGGGAAAGTGTCAAAACACTCATGAAATCGACACAGCGCGAATGAGTCCTCATTTTGCTGCCCCTTCCCTTTCACATGACCTCTACATCAGATTGGAAACATGCAAAAAAACATGCGAGAGTGGTGTCGCGTCAGCAGAACGTGATGTCATCGGCGATAGATCTGCTTGTTGACAAGCCTGCTGATGAAGTGAGAGTTGGGAAGCGTAGGAGGAGAAAGAAAATGAGGGAAAAGGGGAAAGGATGTGGAGCAAAACAGTCGAGAAATTAGAGGGACGGCAGACAGGAAGGAAAATTTGAAATATGGGTTATGTAGGGGGCAGAGGGACATCAAGCGAGGGAGAGAGATGGAGAGCGTGATTATGAGTGGAAACATTCATCTCTCAATCAGGATATGGATTTCCATAAATAATGTGCTCTCTCAGTCAACTCTATGATGTCACTTCGTGCGCAAAGAAACACACACACAAACACACCGAAAGGTTCGTCCGGCAGCGGGAGAGGCAAACAAAAGCAGCGCAAAGAAAACAGTCACCATTCCATTGTGTTAGAATCCTTCAACGCTTTTTTTTTGACAGCGTGGTTGAGACAATGGGGAAATCAAATTGGAGATTTCCAAATGATGCGTTTTTAAGGTTTGATGTCATTGTTTTGGAGCAAGAGTCAACATTTTTGACATGACTCCAAGAATGATCGTGTTCAAAAGTGTTATCTGACTTTTCAATGACAATGAATCTCCGCGGGGGATTAAAAAACATGACTTGTCAATGTCATTCTCAAGATGGAAGAAAAAGATTATACTTGCTGCTCATGTTTTGACCTTAAGAGCCGTTTACAAATTCACAAAATCTGAAGAAGGCTTTGACCTGTGCTGCGAACACAAAATAATCCTCCCTGCGGCGGCGTTGGCAGGCATGACAAAAGGACCCGTTAATGTGAATGTGTGTCCCCAGGTTGCCTTGGTGAGAATGTACAATGAGTAATCACAGACACAAATGTTATATTTGTCGCACCGTATCAAACAAATCCAATGAGATTCACAACCAAATGGGAATTTTTAAGGTCTGGAGTGGGATTTGAATTTAAACGCTTCCCAATTAGACCAAGCGTGACTCACAGACCCCTTATGAAGAATAAAAATATTGGACACAGTTTTCCCCTGCTGGGATGCTGGTTACCCCCCGCCCCACACTCCCCCTCTGGAGCCCGGCCTGGAAGGATTGGATTGCAATCGTGTTGCTAGGTCACATTTACATATACAGCACAAAACAATGCGCGCACTATGATGCACAGTACGAGGCAAGGGACACATCTGGGAAATGTTTTTTGTTACTTAAAAAAAAAGTTGCTTGCCGCCTTGACTGACAGTTTTATGCGACATATCCCAAAGTGTCACACGCTCAAGTCCCGTAATACATTTGCACGCAAAATGAGCCTTATCTTTTTGCCGTTGTCTTGTTTTGTCTCGCTTTGCGTCTGACGGCATATCTGCCCTCTGATTCCATCGATCGCCGCAATCTCATTTGAATTTCAAGAGACACCCGAACCCCCCTCCCCCCCACCCCCATCCAATTCATTGTTTTTTATTGGATTTCTTTAACAACCAATTCAAAACACAACAAGAATACCAAATGGGAGCCAAATTAGGATCCATTCGTTCTCTCGCACTTTTCCGGGGTAGGGTCGCGGGGGCAACGGCTTTAGCAGGGAAGCCGAGGCTTCCCTCTCCCCAACCACTTCTTCCAGCTCTTCCCGGGGGAATGCCAAGGTGTTCCCAGCCCAGCTGGGAGACAGAGTCTCTTCAGCGTGTCCTGGATCATTCCCGGGCTCCTCCTGCCAGTGTGACATGCCTGGAACACCTCACCAGGGAGACGTCTAGGAGGCAGCCGAGTCAGGTGTTTCTTGACATTCGAATGAGATTGCGACGATAGTCGCAGATGGAATCAGAGGGCAGATATGCCGTCAGATGCAAAGAGAGACAAAACAACACAACAACAAAATGATAACGCTTATTTTGTCTGCAAATGTATTACCGTACTTTGGGATATGTAGCATCAAACTGTCAGTCAAGACAGCAGGCAACTTTTTTTTTTTTGAAGTAACAAAAAGCATTTCTCCAGACATGTCCCTTGCTTCATACTGTGCATGTTAGCGCGCACGTTGTTTTGTACTGTATATGCAAATGTGACCCAGCAACACAATTGCAATCCCGTCCTGTCAGTTTGCATGGTTGATTCAAGATGACGTTGACTCTTCAGCTCGTAGCATCAGCAAGATGTGGCATTGGCGTCGACATCGTTGTGTGTTGTGTAAATGCGTATGCGCGCGCACGCTTCTCGGCGAGGAATAATGGCTTTCAACCTTCTTCTTTATATACCTCCAAGTACGAATATCAGAGCTCCGAAATTGTACCAATGACACACCGTTCAATGAGGACAGAGAAGATCCGTTCACGTCCAAATAGCCCGGATGATATTCGCGTCGACACAATAGAAATAAAGCATATTATTAAAGATGGATAAGGTAGAAAAAGACAAGGGAAGAGCTTTTGTCTTATAAATGCTGTTCTTTGAGAGCTGACAGTCATTTGCTGTGGTTCACAGGAGCCACGATTCCTCTGGAGGGCTTCGCCTAGACTAATGGAGTTAACTCTCCAGGGCTCCGCTACCAACAGTGGCAAAGAAAATGGAACAACACACATGCTCTGGGGTTGTCTGGATTGAAGCAGCGGTCCGTAATCCAAAAGTCTCAAACTTCTTTTGTTCTCTCTCCACCCACCAATGCGTAATTTTATTGCTGGTAACATAGCACGGCAGTTAATTCGTCGAAATGTGAAATTCTTCCTTTCGATGCATATTTGGTGGGTCTCCCCTGATTCGTATGCTGACAGATATGGAGAAATGTGCCCATTCTTGTCCCTCCATGGGAGTGATGGGCAATTTAATTGCTGGAGGAGGGCCGAAATTTTTCATCAGTGCTACCGGGGGCCACATCGGACCACACACTTCCGAACCAGACGTATGGGAAAAACATATTTTAAATAGGGACAAAATATGCGCTCTTATTAATACATTTCATTTTTGAAAATACGTTTTCCGATGCATGTTTAAAGATCCGCTATCCGAACGCAACAACCAAGCCATTGAAGCAAATAACAAAATAATCACATACTGTATTAATTTTTTTGGGTGTGCAAATGGTTTTCTTGCATACAAATTAACATTCAGGGCCGGCACAAAACCGCTGAACAAGAACTCAACGGAAAGTGCAAGAACTCAATTCAACTCAAGAAAACTTTTTTTTTTCCCCACAAAAATGTACTCACTCAAAATATTTGCATTATTTAGGTACAGTCAACCCTCGGTTTTCGTCCGTAATCCGTTCCAGAAGGCTGTTCGAAAACCGAATTGTTCGAAAACCGAAACCACACACTCTTTTTAAAAAAAAAAAAAAATGTTATTGAACACGTCTGCTCACAATGGAAAGCGACATGAGGAAGCGTCACTTCCTCGTCTACCCGAGGAAGCGTCATTTCCTCGTGTAAGGAAGGCGAGAGGAGTCAAGTGGTGCATTCAAGTGCGCTCAGTTTGTTCGAGAGCCGAAATTTGTTCGTCATCCGAGGCATAAAAAACTCGAAATTTTTGGTCGAAAACCGAATTGGTCGAGAACCGAGATGTTCGAAAACCAAGGTTTGACTGTACTCTGTAGTGTGTATCATTCCAAATCCGCAAAAAAAATATATATAAAAGGACTATTCAGACTGTAGTATAGGGCAGTAGGAGACCCTCAGTGTCAGCGCAACTAAGACAGGTTTGCCAGCTCGTGGTTATTGGTAATATTGCCACTTAAAACTGCAGTCGGTCCATGCACAGCCACAGTTTGGAAAAAAAAAAAAATATATATATATATATATATTATATATAGAAAAAAAATCTTTTTTTTCAACATATAAGTTAAGAAAACCTTTATTTGTCTCACAATGGAGAAATTCCCAATTTACAGTTGCAAAATTATGAAAGGGAGAAGTGGAAGAACAAAAGGTGTATAAATATATAAAGTATAAAAATATATGTTCTATATTTAGATCTGTCAAAACTGTATTTTGAATATATGAACTTCATTTTTATCATTCTAAGAGTCATGGTAATTTTAGAACATATCAATTTTGTGCATTTCACTCGTGTAGCCCCGTGACATAGTGATGGTGGTGAACTTAGTGACTCCCTTCGAGAACTTCTCTGCGTCAGATGACTTCCACTCGGACGCCACTGGCTAACAAGCCTCGGCAACTCCTTCCACGAAGTCAAATGACGGATTGACTCGCATGCCAAACAGATACAGTCACGCATTTTGTGAGAAAGTCAAAAGAGTTTTCCTGTTAGTCTATAGCTCTTCCCGTGCCCCCATCCGTTCTTTCACAAGGATCCCAGCATGCCAATAATTTGTGACCTGCTCATGGTCATGAGTTTAACCTGACTGGTGTCTTTGTTGAACACAATGTTGCTGTCGGCCCAGAAAAGAAAACCCAACATGGCTCCAACTGCACAAGAGAGGTCTGTTGATCCATGATGTCGCAAAGTTGAAACATGTACAAGTGTAACGTGCGCATAAGATCACAGGTTTAGTCAGCACTTCTGTACGCACTCACAAATGCAGAATAATTTCTAAAATGCCAAAAACAAATTAGAACATGCGGTGTGGGACTATCAGGAGAGTCGTCGTTCGATAACTACAAGCCAAGCTCCTGGTAAAGAACAAGTTCAAGTCAAACAAATATATCGAACTGTGACTTTTAAGATGTCAGCCAGATGTCACTGCAGCAGTGACCAAGTAGAGGTGATAAAATGCATACTCACCAAGCTGACTGCGTCTCTGCGCGTAGGCTACCACCACTGCGGCCAGAACTACACAGCATAGCGATGTCACAAGGTTTGCCATCTGCGGACATACCACACAGGGGGATCATCAGCGAGAGCACGTGGCAGAGACGGGAGAACTGGCGAGCGACCGCGTCCGCCCGTCGTTCTAATTGACTGACAGACGTGAACGCCTACAACGCCATTGAGGAGATGGAGAGATAGCTGCTTCCTGCCCCCTCTGAGTCTATCTGTCTCTCTGTCTGTCTTTATCTGCTCCCACTGGGATGGTGTCTGTTGTGACCTTTTCTCCAACCTTTTTTTTTTGTTTTGCCTTATTTGAAAAGCTTTCTTGGTTTGCAATGCTGTTCAAATCCCTGTTGGGATTCTTTGAATTGCGTTTTTTAAAATTGTTATTTCTGTCTTTGTTTCTTTTTCTCTGGACATCAGACTAATGGTTTCATCCTCTCTGGGATGGGCTCTGAACAGAGGCTCTTAAAGGGAAAGCACAGCATAAACAAACACACCCGCCTTGGAGCGCAACCGACTCTTTGAGGCGTCTATTGTATTTTTCATTTATTAGGACTGGGGTTATGGCTTTCTGATGATTAATGGGTTTTTCAAACGACTTCCATGAACGCGTCCGGAGGGGTGTGGCCTGTATATGCATACTTGCATGCATCCACATAAAGTTGATTTGGATGTGGCCTTTTTTTTTAACATTTTTAACACATGATGTGAGATCAATCACAGGGCGTGTTATAAACAATCAATCATTCACACTCAGATTCACACATTTGTGCAATTTGCCATGCATGATTTTGGTGACGAACGCAAGCACGACTTGACTTTCTCTTGAAGCGTTTTTTGAAACAACAATAAAAAATGCATTGTCTGATTGTTTTTTTGTTTTGTAATACCAGCGAGTCTTTATAAAACAACCAACCATTAATATCACATTTTATAGTCCCATTGTCCTTGTCAAAACCTCGGAATAAAAAAGTTTTGCCAAAGCAAAATTTGCGTTCTGCTGTTTTTTTTGTTTTGTTTTGTTTTTTTTGTTGTAATTATTTGCCTCTTTTGTGACATGCTCTGTGAACTTTAAGGCGAATTTTGAATTGGCCTTTGTCGTTCAGTCAATGTAACACCATCATATATATATACATATATATGCTTGTGTGCCTTACTGCGAGTGTGAAAAGGCTGAGGGCTAGCTTATAGTTTATAGGATGTGCACTGATGTCTTTTGAACTGAATTGAATTTTTCCCGATTAAATATATTGAATCGGAATGACAGGATGGATTTGATACTAAATAGCTTGAGCACAAGTTTTCATCTCCGCAAAGGCTCAAAGTCACTAATGTTGGCAGCCAAGCAGCTGGCTGTCATCCATTGAGCAGGTGTTCCACAGCACATCAGCATTAATGGCCGAGATGAATTAATCAGCTTTAAAGGTGATCCTATTTAAACTGCTCTTTTTCCCTACTCGTATGCTGGTGGGGGGGTGAAAGGTCACTCCTTCTGCAACTAGCACTCTAGATTTCTTGCCCACCCAACATACAGGCTTTTGCATTTCCTCTTATTTTTTTTTACTGAGGAACTCTTATCTCACTTGACAGGGTCAGCTTGCCAATGAATGTTGGCTGAAAAAAAAAGAACATGTCCACATGTGCAGAACAGAGTGAGCATTATAAATACGGGCATAGAAAGCAAAGTGAAATTCCTTGTTCTTTGGATGGAGGAGTTCAACTGTTACAAACCGCTGTCGCCTCCCATTTGCACTCTTTTTTTTTTCTCCCTGTGGCTACAATGCGTTATCCTTTTTTAAATCTATAAGCTTCTCCATTCCACTCATTGTAATGTTTCACTTTTACTTTTGATTGATCTCATATTTATTCATCAACATCGGTCACACTTATTTCTTATCTGCTCCTCTTTTGTTAGGCTTTCATCTTAAGCCGCGTTTCATCATGAGAGAAAGAAAGCAACATCGGTAATTCTCCATGATGTTCAAGAACACGAAAAGGCTTTTATACTCCCCCTGAATTTCAAACTTACTAACTTAGTGAAACACTCGTGCAATGAACGCAACTGCAGGAACAAACAAACTTGCGGTTTCAAAGCACAACAAAAAATTGGAGCTCTGATAATTGCTCTCTGTCATTCTATTGTCCTTCACATACTTGACAGCAAGTAGAAGAAGGCTGATTACCCAACTTGCCTCAGTATGGCCACAGCCACTTTCAGTGAGGCACAACAGATTTGAATTTAACAGCAATATGAGATTGGGGCCATGTTCTCACACTTGTACTTGGGAATAGGTGGGAAAAAATATATTGGGCATCCATCTCAGCTCAGTTTGACTTCTTAAGTTTGCTTTTTGGGTTTTTTTGGAGTGCGTGTTTGTTTTTAATCTCACCACACCCATTTTGTTTGACTTCAAAAAACAGCTCTCAATCGCAAAGCAAACTTGATTTACTCATTTAAAAAAAAAAAAAAAAAAAAAGCCTTGAGAATGCCGGTAGTTTGTCACGGTGATCAAATAAATGTCTTGTCTAATTGGATTTTATGTTGTCTTGCTGCTATAAAAGTCGTGACTAGATCTACATCGTGAAATTGGGCTCCCCATTAACCGCACACAAATACTTCTCGGATGACCTGGACAGAGGAACTTTTTCTAGGGAGGTAATGTCATGCGAGTTGGTGGTGCTAGAAGGACTCAGTAAAAGTCAATTTTGTTACATAATTATTACATTATATTGGGAAGTTCCAACTCTTAGCCAGTGGCGTGCAAAGGATGGGGCCGACGTGGCATGAAAATTCCCAATTTCGAGTGTTCTATCAACCTTCCACGCATGTTTTTTGGAATGTGGGAGGAAACCCGAGTACCCGGAGAAAACCCACACATTCACTGGGATAACATGCAAACTCCACACAGGAAGGCCGGAGCAGGAATCAAACCCTGTACCTCTGCACTCTGAGGCCGAAGCGCTAACCAGTCGCCCACCGGGCCGCCCTGACCAAATAATCTTCATCATTTTCATTCTATACTCGGTTCGAAAAATACAATAGCATTGAACAACGAGGTGCAACTGAAAGTATATATACTGTTGTCCGGGTTCATCCATTGTACTCTGTATAATAATTGGCATGTTGACTGCTCAATCAATCTGAAAACAGAGACAGAGTGCCTGCCGGAAGGCAGTGCTGAAGGAGAAACTGAAGACACAGCGCAGGGGAGCAATAAGTGAGCCAAGTGAGCTAGTCAGATCCTGCACAGTTTTACAATTCGTCCAGAAGTCCCAAGAAGGGGATGACTGGAGAAAAGAATATGCCTCATGATGCTCCTGTTAAAATGCTTTGTAACATGCGTGACTGAGACTGTCATGAGAAAAATGGAAAGAAAATTCGTCTCGTAATGCACATCACTGTCATTGTTGTCATGGTTCTGTTTGTGACCAACAGGTGGCACTGTAGGCCTCCGCCTGCAGCTGCACACCTGTTGGTCATTGTGTCATTAGTTGTCTGGATAAAAGGACTCCCGGCATGATCACTCAGTGTCGGGTCATTGTTGCTGTTGTGTGTTGGTGTGTGCACGTGTCATGTTTTGTTTGCTACTTTGTTTCCTGTGACTTCTGGACTTTGAGTGAGTTTTTGGAGTTTGTTTCTCCTGTGTAGTCCGGTTTGTGTTTTTTGTTAAATACATCTTTGTCAAGTTCACCCTGCTCCTCCTCCTGCCTGCTTTTTGGGGTCCTCCACCACCAAGCTACACGACAATCGTGTTTCTTTTGAAATTCCTAACGTCGTTTGCTGGAACACCCAATCTCATTTTCAAAATGTGATATTTTCAGAAAAATTGGGAGCAAAATATATATATATTAATGAATTAGAAAATACCTACAGACTCACTGAGGGACCAACACAATTTTTTGAAAAATCATCTTATCAATCAAAGCTGAGAATTGATGGGTTTGAAAGGCAACATTTTTAAAGACACTCATACGTCCCCCCCCACCCCATCTTTTGTACATCTGCATTTTTTAGTTAAGGTCTCATTAAAGGGGCTAAAATTAAGGTACTAATGCGTTTTGTTTGCCAGGCCCCAAAAGTCCAGTTTGCAGTCCAGTTCACACTTTTAAGTTGCGCATATGAAAAGTGAGCACCAGACTGAGTTATTGGTGCCACGTGTTGTTTCCTGGTCCTTTAATCTCTGTCAAGTTTATTAGTGAAACGTCCAACAAAAATAACACCACCAGGCAGGCAATGGTGTGAGGGGTCGTAGCGGGCACACTGAGAAAAAAAAAAAAACAACTTTGCACAGTGCACCGCAGCGACAAAGCAACCACCCTAGCAGGGGTTTCCAGAAGGGTTGCAAGCCGAAAACATGTGCCATTTATCCCAGCGTACACTCCAACAGACAAATAATAGATGTGCTCGGGCATCCAAGTGTGTCAAAATGACAAGCAGTTGGACCACGTGAAGCTTCCCTAAGTAACAACCGAAATAAATAATACGAGTGGAGTTGACAAGTTTTGAAGGTGAGGGTCTCACAACATGCTTTTGTGTGAAAAAAAATGTGCCTGTCATTTTTTTTCATTGCATGGTGTAGTTTATAGCTACAGCCCGACATCAGGAGTTCATGTTTTTATTGAGGCTTTTTCGTTGTCAAGTTTATCCTTCCCCAGTGTGGGTTTCCTTCCACAGGCCATAAACAAGCAAGTTAGGTTAATTACAGACACTAACAGCCTTGTATTACACCAATAATGTTCATATTAGACATAACATGTTCTGTAGGATTGATGCCAAACAAAACAATGTTTTTTTTTGTTTGTTTGCTTGTCCTGCCGAGTCAACATTCAGTAAATCCAGTCTAAATAAAAATAATTTTTCGCATTTATTTTTGGTTGTTAAAAACAAACCATGTTTTTAGCATTTATATTTTTGTATTTATTTATTTATTTATGTTTGGGGTTGTTGGGCAGCCCAGTGGCCCAGTGGTTAGCGCGTCGACCTCACAGTGCAAAGGTACCGGGTTCAATTCCAGCTCCGGCCTCCCTGTGTGGAGTTTTCATGTTCTCCCT